TCCAAATAGGAGCCATAATAATTGTGTTGTATCCTGCCATCTGAAACATTGAAGGTGAGGTCCAAAGAGTACTGTCCAAATTGCAGCAGAACTCTTGCAGGAGTCATAAATTTTGCTGGGTTTACAGCAAATGTTTAGTTTTGAGATTATGCTGACTAGGATGGGTTCAGTGTTGACATCAGACAGCTCTTCCTAAGACTGGCTTTCGATCTGGGGCATCAGAATGTGCCCCAGATCGTCCCCTGAATGTGTATATACCTTCAGTACAGTCTAGATTAGGCATGCCCTTATACCTCTGAGGGTTGAGCTCAGATACTTGATGCTAGGCACTGAAGCCATGCAGAATACGGGCTCAGGGCCCTGGGAAATATCTGGAGATGGGCAGGTTTAAGGAGAGCAGCATCCCAGATTCATGCCCTCACCAGCATTTCTTGTTTATACCACTTTTCACGCATAGTTAAAATGAGCATAATTATGCTTTGAGTGGCATGATGGGCTACATTCACAAACAAATGAAATACTATTTTCAGGACATTTTTTCATGCATACCTACTCAAACAATAAACTTTTCAAGCTCGGTTGACTCTTTTAGTGGGTAGGAGATATAATTTCTGTACAGTGGCTACCGTAGTCTGAATGCTTGCCCCTCTGTACGTTGAAACCTAATCTTCAGTGTGCTGGTATTAAGAGGTGCGAACTGTGGTAGGTGATTCAGTTATGGGGGCAGAGTTCTCATGAACAGGATTACTGCATTCCACTATGAAAGAGGCCTGAGAGCACTAGCCTGTTTTCCCACTGTTACAGTTTAGATCTAGAATTGCCCCAAAGTCACATGTGTTCAGAGGTGAGGCTATCATAAAGCGACTGGATTATAAGGGATTGATAGCTATCTGGACGTTAGCAGGTGGCACCTACTTGGAGGGGGATCACAGAGGTACCTGGAAGAAAGGCTTTTTGTCTCAGCTTCCTTGCTTGTCATCTGCTTCCTTGCTCTGTGAGATTTTCCCGCCAGATCTGTGCACTGTGCCATGTCTGCTTTGGAGCCCAAAGCCATGGACTAACCATGAGCCAAAATAAATGTCTCCTACTGTGGTGTTAGGTATTGTGTCCATAAATGACTAAATGACTAAAATGACCCCTGGCACATAAAAACATTGTGATCTAGTAAACAGGTACTTGGCAGACATTCAATCTGCTGGCACCATGATCTTGGACTCTGCAGCCTCCAAAACTGTGAGTAGCAGGGCTTGGGGAGTTTATCAGCAGCATCAGTTCATCCTGTGATAGCACTCTGAGCTGCTTAAAGCAATGGCATGTGAATCCCTTGGTCCCACAAAATAATAAAAGGTGCATCATCTGACTCGCATCTACATGTCAAAAGACCCTAACTACTGCTTATATTTTTTAGGAATGTCAAAGAGAATAGAATAGCAAAATCAGCTTAAGGGAAAAAAAAACCTGAAAAATATAAGCATTATAGAAATCAAATCAGTATTTGAGACTTTCTGATCTCAATTTCCCTTATGCCCCATCCACACTTCTCTGCTAAACACCCCTGTCCAGAGTATTCACCTGCGGTGCGTGGTTTACTGCAGCAAGACCCTGGCTACTATTCTCTCAGACAATTTGCCTAAGACAAAAAGATAGTGACAGTGGCCCCTCTGATTCTACAGGTATTGTGTAATCTTAACAATAATACAGTAAAACAGTAGCACTTTTCCAGGAAATCACAGGCCAATATCACTTGTATAAAAGTAACTTGAGTGATACAAATTTAGCAAGCACAGTTATGAAAAATTTAAACAATTTCTGATGGAAGAAAATTACCTCTGCGTGCCTTCCAAAGACCTACAGTAAATATTATGCTCTTTGAAATGGTGGAATTTAACTTTTTTCTCTCATCCAACATTGTTAGTCTTTTGTGGCATAGAACACACAAGGCACCAATTCTTATTCTTAATTGCATCTTACACCAGGTAGAACTTCCTGTGAGCTGTAGAAGAGGCAGGGTGGGAGCATTTCTGCTGGAGCTGCTTACATTCTAGTGCCTGGGAAGTCATCTATTAACACACTGAATTTGCATTTTGCCATTTTGCTAAAACTACTCATTTGCAAATGGCATGTTGACTTTTTCCTTTTCTGTGGCTTTTATTACAGTTGCAAATGAGACATTTTCCTCAAAATGCAGGAAATCAATTATATTATTGGCCTGGTTGAACTTACTTTTTCAAGCAAATAATCACCCTAAATGAGGAACGCCATTTATGTTAATTTTCCTCGTAAGCATTTAAAATTTCAGTGTTCTTCAGATCAAAAATCTCCACATGGTCTGACCAGCACATTTTAAAAAGTATAGGGCAGAGCACGAATCGCCAAGAACACTGCTGTGGTTTGGTGTCATCTTCTGCGAGAAGTCTCTGCTCTGTGTATGCCTGCATCAATAAGGCACTGTTCAGAACTGGCTCTGAAGAAGCTTCACAGCGCAGTGTTGTGCAGCCACATGGAGACCCAGCCAGAGCCTGGCATGTAAGCCTGGAAAAGGAAGCTGTGCTGCAGACGGGGGAGAAGCCTACACTCCCATACCGGGCAACAGTGCACAGGAGAGGACTCATGAGGATATCAGTTTAATGTGAGGTGCACTTGCACAGAGGAAAAAATATAAATCCAGATGCATTTGAAAATGACTTAAGTTTAAAAGTGATGGCTTCTAAGTTAGTACATATGCTATTATGTGGAAGTCTTGTTTTTGTTATCAAATTTAATACAAGGGATTCTTTACTTCAAATTAGAGAATGCATTTCTAAAATAAAATACAAGTGAGGGAGATTTCTTATTTTCTCTAAAAAGTTTACTGGGAATTGAACTCATGACCTCACGCTTGCCAGGGAGGTGCTTATGCCCCTGAGTTAAATCCTGGGCTCTCCAAAAAGGTTTAAATGTGTATTTTAGTAGCAAAATAGGCAAAAGGATGTCTGTAGGTCATTCACACAAGACTCAAATGTCCAATAAGCACTTGCAAAGGTATAGCATTTCACCAGAAATCAGAAATGCAGTGGGACACAACACAGTACTTCTTCAAGTTGGGTACTGCTGACTTTCATGTCGAAGTGTCCATTGATCCGCATCTTCACCAACTCTCATTGGATTATTAACACATCACAGAAATCAGACTGGCAAGTCACTCTCCACGCAGACAACTGCCTTTCACACTCCTCTAGTACAGGCATGCACTGGATACCAGTGTCCACCAATACACTGTTCTTTTGCTCCCGTGCGTATCGGTGATGGTGCTGCACAGCCCACCTTTGGGAGATCATGATTGTGGCTGCAAGTTGTGTGTTATTTTCCAACCGGGCAAGTTCTTCTCCTCTTGCTCTTCTCTCCCAGTGATGCAGACACAGTGGTCCAGACTGTACAGCTACAGGAACGGAGGCTCTGAGCCTGAGACCCGGACTGTGGAACTCAATCTCCCCAGGTGCACGTGTAACATGAATGAAAAACACTTGTCTGGTTGACCAAACAGGATGGGAAAAATCATTAAAAAAAACCTTTAAAAACCAACAAGTGCAAACATCTTGTAGGATATAAACAGAACTAGAACTCCTGGAACATTAGTAATGAATCTGGCATGGAACTGGTTTCCAAAAATGTGAGCCAGTGGAACCTAGCCTAGCCTATGTAAGGGAAGTCTTAGCTACATCTGAAGACCCAGTGCTTCCTCCAAGTCTTCCTTCTGGACCACTCAGTATAGAAACCACCAGACACACGGGACTACAGTGACAGAGGAACTAAATGGGTGCAGTTCAAATCTGAAAATGTTAAATTTTTTTGTTAATGATAGGACTTCTTTTAATTGACAATTTAACATCAAAATTGAAACGTGTGAAATATACACCAGGTTTTTAAATTGTACATGAAAGAATGTGCTTCTCAGTAAGTTTTATGCTGATTGAAAACATTTCAAATGTTTTGGGCTAAGTCAAGCATACTGCACTTGTTCTATTTTTCTCTAAGAGAGGCTGCGAAGTGGCTCACATATTTCTGTCACACAGCATGGTCTAAGCTTTCACAGAGCATCTCCCCCTGATCAAGTTGCCTGGAGGATGCTGGAACTTTACAAAGAAGGCAAGACTACATTCTGCAAGGCAAGACTACATTCTGCAAGGCAAAGATCTAGTGATAGTGTGGGTTAGTGATGGTCGCTTCCTTTCCTTGTGGCTTTTAAGACCATTTCTGCCTATTCCCTATTCATTACCCTCAGCCTCCCCCAGTAGTCCATGCCTAAAATAGTTCTCTTCAGGCTCCCAGCGTTTTATTCAGTCTCTATTCTAAATAACCACTGGCAAAGGTGACACCTTCATAGATGAATTCTGAAAGATCAAAGGATGACTAGACTCACATCATTAACTGCTGACTCTTAAGCAGTTCACATCTCTCTCCCTCAGACTCTGCCAATCCTTAGTTCAAGTCCAATTCTTTTCCTTGTTCTCTTTTCCCCCTCCCTCCTGAGATCTGGAAGTGAAATGAAGAAATTAGCAAAACAGCATTGTTCAAATACCCTCGTACTCCCTCCTCCAAATAACACACAGGATGGTGTCAATAGTGCAGCCCTGTTCTCAGGGCTGGTGGGTGGGGGTGCTCAGCCTGCTTCAGAACTATCCCCCCACCCCCTCCCACTGCGGGGAGCTGGTCATGGATGGTCAGTGAAGCACCCACATATATATTCCCCACTGGCTGTTGTAGGTAAATCTCAACTCCTGTAAAAGCCAGCACCTCTTGGGAATTTAAGTCAAAGCAAAACGAAGAGAAATCCAGCTTCCTATCAGTTTATGCATGATTAACCAGTACCAGTGCCTATAACTCAAAGTACACCCCTGGAAAAGTTCAGAACACCTGTGTCATGTGGCAGGCCGCCTTCGTGGGCCTCAGGATGTAGCATAGGAGCCAGGCTGTGTAGTAAACATCCACCTTGTTAACAATTGAAATGAAAGGGCAGGAAAAAAACTTACAGTTACTTTATTTAACAAAATTTACTCCAACTTCTATCTATGTACAAACCAGAGCAGCAGACACAGACTTCAACACAGGAATTATAATAACGGTCAACATGTTCTACAGAGGTTTGCTTCCTGCTCGTATAGACATTCATAGACTCTAAAGTTTCCCAAAGGCCGAGCAGCGTGGCGTCTTCATTTTCTGGGATGGCTTATGATACAAAGTCCTAAAGAGAGGGGGCCGGAGCTTCAGAGGGGTAAATACACTGCGTTCAGCTTATCATCAAACAGCCCCTGGCCCACAGGAGGGGCTCACAAAAATGTTTTGGACTGGGGATAAAAAAAATCTGAGTAAAATATAATCTATTGAGTACACTTAGTAGCTTTTAAAAAGTTTTACTCGCCTATGTCATAAATATAACAAGGTTGTCTCATTTCTGGCCCCCAAAAGTAAGAAAAGCTACTTTAGAAAACAAATTTAAAATAATTTTATTAGTACTACTAACAACATGTAGTGACCGGAGATCCTTCAAAATTAAGGTCAGAGTACACAAGTACTCAACAGCTCTGCCCTACGCCCTCGGATTTTGTTAGAAATGTGTTCACTTTATGACATTGCCTACATGTTAACAAGCTACTTTCTAAAGCTCTTTATTTCGGGAAGATAGCCTCTTCTGCTTCCCTATTTTTCTCCAGAATATCTTTTAACTCCTTAAAAAGTGTTACAGTTCTGAAAATCACCAGAAGGATTGCTACATATTCTACTCACAAATTCAGTACTTCATCTTGAGTAAGTACTCAAGATGTGTTTCAGTAATACTTGAACAACAGCTGATACTGTGAAGTGTAAATATTTCAAGCCCATGCTAAATACTCTGACCTGGCCAACTCTCAGCCCAGTCATTCAAGAAAAAGCTGCTAAGTGGTGATATATAGAAGGAAAAACAAATTCGCAGTTTTTTCTTCTTTGCTACACATCTTAGACCTCTGGAACGCGGGAGGGCACAAGTCTGTAACACGGCTAAAACTTCAGAACGCTCCTCACGTAGCAGTGGTAAAACCCTACCAGCTGCAAAGCACCAAAGAAAAACGTACAAGGACCGAATGCTGTGACAAAAATGACCCCAGGGGTTTCTACTCCTGTTTGTTCATATAAATGAGATCCCATCACTTACTGTGCTTTCATTATCTAAAAGTGAGATCAAACCATTATAAAAATGTACTTCCAAAATAAATAATTTCTGGAATATAAAAATGTTGTACATTTTCCCAGCCCACATATCACTTATAAAATAGGAAACCAGAAAATTAGCTATTGCAATTTTCATGTGGTAAAAAATACTTGTATGTGTACATACACACATATATAAAAATGTAAAGTTTTAATAAAATCAATCAACTGAACGATCTTACACTCAAGAAAAGTCAAGTATTTGTGATGAGAACAAACTTGAAAGGAGTATAATCCCACCCATCAGAGGATAAACTAAGACTTTCCCATGTGAAAAACCAAACAAAGAACAAAAACATCTCCAACTAATTATTGAGCTAGTTAGAAATCACTAGTGGTGCTTTCAGGTACACCAGTCCCTCTCCTCCCCGCTTATCCTCAGTATCAATTGGTACCCCCAGAAGGGTAGGGAAGCCTGGGGGAGCAGCCCATCTGTGCCTCTGCCTTCAACCTTGCTGTCTGAGGGCCATTGCCCAGCTGCCTAGCCCAGTGAGGACTCAGTTTCAGGTTGGAGTTGTGTCTGCCTCACTACCTGCTTGCATGCACACAGTTGCATTGCAGATCATTAAGTCCTGTGGTCAGTGATGGAGAGGGGAGCGGAAGTCCCCCTGGAAAAGGCGAGCACTAGGGAACTGTGACTGGCCACACTACATCACTGGCAGGTTGTTATGACACTGGAAACCAGGGGTAGCGTCTGCTTTTGCAAAGACAGTAGGGGATTTCTGCCCATTTCTAGTAACCTCGTAAGGTTGAAAGTCTCCCCCATACCTGAAAGGCACAGAAGGAAAAGATCAAGAAGAGATGGGAAAGCTGTCCTATCCCACAGTAGAACTTGTTCAGAAAAACAGGCAAAGCAGGGGTAGACGGGCCCTGGGGACCCAGAATAGCCGCACCCTCCCAGTTTGTGAATGAGTCCCTGGGTGAAAACTAAGTCAGGTTAGGTTCTTCACAGCCTGCTTGACAATCCTGCCCTCAGCTGTCTTCCTGAGGGTTTATCTGTGTCACAGGAAACCTATGCCTTCGCATTTTAAACTGACCATTTCATTTAACCTGGTTGTGGGAGTGTTATAGGCAAAGAGGAGACTTTTAGATATTTTCCCTCTGTAACTTTTTTTAAAGGCACATTTGCTGCCCAATTGTAACAAGATTTTTAGAAGAACACAAAAGCAAAATACTTGAAAAATGTGTGGTTTTTAAAAAACACTTTTTAAAGTAGTAAATGCAGGCAAATCCTTGGAATCATTTCTTAAAACACCAAGAAAGAGAAAATTCAGTGCTACATTAAGACAATGAGTATTGCAGGATGGAGAGGGATTGAAAAGGATGGTTTTTACAACCAAATTTAAGATAATGATGTAGAAAATGTAATTTCCACTATGTAACAGATATTCCAGAAGAGTTAAAGCAAAAACAAAGTGTATGTGCACACCAAAACATGGGCTTAATTCTTCAGTAGCATGTAGAGGAGCGCATATAAAGCGCTCTAAATCTGCTCCTCTAAATGGGTGGTGAAAGGTTTGTATCTACTCAGAAACATGGGCACTAAAGAAAGGTCTCCGATCCCACTGAAAATCTGCTGAGTCTCACATCCTTCCTCTAGAGAACCACATCCACACAAGTGGACACAGTGACAATTCCAGGGGCTTGTAATACCTCCTACGGTCCAGCCCCAAGCTCAGGCTAAGGGCTCTTGATATTCCTACAGGGATGCTGAAGAATTAATAATCCTCCTTCCTACGGTTTTGGATTTCTCCTGCTAAATCTGGGAGGGGGAAACCCCAAACAAATGAAAAACAACTTGCTTCAAATGCCACACTTTTACTCATTTGCCCTTGGAAGAAAGAACATCCCAATCTCTAGTGGCCTCAATCAAATGCCGCTGGCCGTGACTCATCCACTCTTCCTGGTCTTCATAAAGCCGCCCACAAAACCAGCACTTAAATATACACTGCGATGAGTCGTCGGGCAAGGAATCCACTACCTGGTAGTTGTTTTTGTGGACCTTTTTCAGTTTCATCTTCAGCATCATCTGCCTCTTCATCTGGCTGGCTTCCTCCGTGTTCTGGTAGGTGAGTCGCAAGTGGTGCCGGCGGATGCCCAGCTGGCACCTAGTCCTCTCTGACAAAACCACTTTCAGGACATTGCCTTTGTACTTGTTGATGACCTTCATCACGTTAGTCACTTCCGGTGAGTCGACATCAGGATGATTCAGCACGATGACTGGCTGGTTCCGACGGGGACATTTAATCAACTGGTCGGGTTTAACCGCTATCAGGCGAAGCTGTCTTGCGACCTGAAAAATGGAAGGATCCTTGAGGCAGCGGCTGGATTCAGCCTGAATCTTGCTCTTCTTCTTGGATGAGTTTACCTGCTTGGTTTTACTCCTGCTCCCAGGAAGACTTCTGGAGAGCAGCCTCCCATGCTGCCCATACATGGGGCCAGTTTTCTTAGGGGTGCTACTACAGAGGGCATCCTCTCTTCTTGGTTTAGGCCGCAGAGATGTCTCAAGATTCCAGGACATGTCTATCGGGCCACTTTCGCTCATCAAAGGCTGTGTGTCTGAGTCTGACTGTTTCACAGGACGAATCTGGACTGGTTTTGGTAACTGAGCTTCACTGCAAGGAATGGCAACAGGCGCATCACAAGTGGCCTCTATGATGTGAGCATCCTCCGAGGAATTGAGAACTCGCAACACAGCCCCCTTGGGGATCAGCACTGGAGTAGCCACAGGGGCCTTTCTGGTCCCTCTGCTTTCAGTTCTCCCATCACTGACCTTAGTGAACTGTGGATAGATCTCCTGAGGTGTCAGCTGTCCTTTGCCAATAACAGCAACTTCATTCTGAGGTTTCCGGAGAGGACCCATGGAAGGGCCGGGACCAGAAAGCGACACATTAATTTCTTGAATACACTCAGATGTTGCCTTTGATGTGACCTTTGCTGTCTGCTCTACAGACCGACGATGTGCACCATTTGTAGACAAAGAGGAAGGTTTCCCACACGATTCCATTAACTGAGCTATCTTTCTGCGCAAGAGCTCGATTGACTTTATTTTTGATGTTGAACTATTCCACTTAATACCCTCTGGCACATTTTCAGATCCAGAGCTCAGAGAAAATACTGAGGAGATGACAGGGCCATCGAAAGTGTCCTTAGTCCTTTCCGAATCCTTCAGTTCTACAGGCTTTTCCCCAGGTTGATAAGACTTAGCCCTTTCTTCTCCAGTTATGTTAATGTGTAAATACTCACTTCTAAGGGGAGAGGAAATTTGACCTACATTTGAAACTACCTTGCTTTGTTCTGTCTGGTTATCTTCCAGCTTTCTGCTAGAGGAAACCATTTTTACAGGAATACTAATGTTACTTCTAGGCTCAAAGTCATTTTCACTTAAGGGTATTACACCATTTTCTCCAGAAAAGGAAATAGCTGCAGGCCATGCAGTAAGAGGGAAGGACTGCTGCAAGTCACTGCATCGATTTCTTCCCTCTTCAGCAAAAGCAGCAGCTGCTTTACACGGGAAAGGGTTTGCCGCAGGTCCCAGTCCACAGAAAACACTGTTTCTTACCACTGATGGTGGGGAACGGGCTTTTAAGGCAAGAGAAGGAAAAGTGGTTCTGTGTGCATACAAACTGTTTTTCCTCTGCAAATCCTCAACCACATCAGAATGGAAAAAGGATTCTCTATAATTGCGCACACCAGAGTTTGACATGAAAAAATCATAAGACCTTACCCATTTCACATTTTTAAGTTGCTTCTGAACTGAAGATTGGAGACTATCAATGCCTAAAAGTTTCCCAACGTTCCCTTCGATGGTTAGCGACTTTGTTTTCTCTGCACTAAGTATTTTTTCTTGTTCATTTGAACCCTTCTCTTTAGTCATCTGCTCAGAACTACTTCGATCACCCCGGTCAGCTTCCAGGCGATTATTTTCTTCCAGTGGAAACAATTTCAGAACAAGCTGCTGTGTGCCGTTGACAACCTTCACATCAATTAACTGTGCTAAGCAGTTGGCTGGGACAACGAGCTCTGATGGGGCCACCACTGTCAATGGCATGCCTGGCTGGACGGGTTCCTTGGCAGGGGACAACACTTCTACCTCGACGCTTTTGTGCTCAAACAGACTGACCTCGCTAGGCTCAGAGAGGGTCATTTTATTTGGAATGCACACGACATCTTTTTGGTACTCCTTCGATTCAGGCAACAGCATGATGCTGTGCATTTTATCTTTGTTCCCTTGGAGGGAGAACCTTGAAAGCTGATCGGACAACTTATTTTGAAATGTAGTCCTGGGGCTGGGAGCCTTTAAAAGCTCCACGTTGTGTCTCGAAACACTGATTCTTTTAGGCTCCAGCTTGCCCACAGTCTTAAGGGGCCGTTTCGCGCCAGCCCTCTCGTGCACCCGCTTCCGATGCTTCACAATGTAATCATTTCTAATAGCACCATAGTCGCAGTACTCACACTGATAAGGAAAGATGCCTGTATGCTTCACCAAATGCCTCTGAAACTCTCCTTTTGTGTATGAAATGTAGCTGCAGTGAGAACAAATGAATTTAATCTCCTCGTGTTGAAGTGTGTGCTTTTTGTACTGCAGCGGATCTTTTGTAGAAAAGCGACATTTGTCACAGTAATATTTGCCTGGCTTAAAGTTCCTTACCTTGAATTTGTTGACGGGACTTGAGATGGTTTCAGTATTATTTCCAACATAAGCAGCACTGGTATTATTGTTCATGAAATGAAAAGGAGGAGGAGACACATGAATGCTGCATTTGAGACAGACGTATTTGTCTTCCTTTTGGCTTTGTCCAGTGTCTTTCTTCAGATCTTGCAGAGGAATTTTGTGAACACTTTTGCACTTTACACACGTGGCAATGGTCATCAAGGCAGCCTCTGCCTCTGAGCCTTGGTACAGGAGGCTTTGTGCTTCTTGTCTGTCTGGTCGAGTAGCTCTACTAGAATTGGGCTGTTTGGGTGACATGGTCAAGGAGTTATGTCCACCATTCATTTGTGTAGTATACAACTGTTCTCCCATATCCTTCATTTTCCTTATCTGCATTTCTAAGAGCAGCTGGCTGAAAATTCAGAAAGCTTCACATGCTGAATTCTTCTGAGGCATCTTTCAGCACACTTGTCACTGGTGGAAAATCAGCTGCTAATTTCTGGTATCTGCTTAATAACCTTTGCTTCTATGCAGCCACTGTAGATGCATGATCCAAAAGGTGACTGCTTTCAGTTCTTGGGTGGTCCAGGGATCACTGCAGGAAAACAAGATCATAAAGAACAATCAGTATAAAGATTAGCTAAGCTATTACCAAATTTACCCTGTATTTTAATACCCTTAAGAATTCTATGCTAAATCTCAAGGTGTAATCTTCCACGTTAACATAACTGGCAGCTAAGCTCAACTGGAACTTTTCAAACTGCACCCCCTAAACTCACCCTTTAGACAGCCATGAGCGCAGACATACTGGAGGGAAGACATCACAGCAGCCATGCAGAATGGCACTGGCCAGTGCTGGTGAGCACATCTGAGTGATTTTTTCAAGTGCAGTTTCACATTAGCCTCATGAAGTCCCATGCAGGGCACTATTAGTTCAAGGTACAAATGTGTGAAGCCACCCAGGGAAGAATTCACATTTGCTTCCATTTTAAAACTTACATTCAGCTTGGGTGCCATCTCTTACTTAAACACTCAAATCTATCCTCGCCAGTGGCAAGAAGCCACTAAGACTGATAAGGAAAGCAGAAATAGCTGCTCCTCTATCATCTTACTGAGCATCTTTCAAGTGCTGGACATTATTCAGAGGGGAAGAGGGCAGTGAATGAAAGCACATCAGTCCCTGCACTCGCACAGCACTGAGAAGTGCTGGGAAGATAACTGGAGAGGAAATATCGTAACGTCCAGCAAGGGCAGCAAGCACCTGAGTGAGTGTGTGCAGAGAGCGAGGTGCTCAGGGGACAAGAGCTGGGAGGAGCCTCAGGAGGTCAGTGATACCTAAAGCAGAGATCTAGAGGTGACCTAGTAGCAATCTAGAAGTGGGTGTCTGGAAAAAGGGAGTTTCAAGTGGGGAGACGACCAAGGTCCAGGGAAAGTGAGCCTGATGCACTTGAGGAACAGGAAAGGAAGGGCTGCAGATAGGCTCAAAGGCAATGAGAAGGCCAGGCAAGGAATGAGCTGGAACAGTGGTGGCGAAGCTAGCACACATGTGCTGTGGCGGGTTGTTTGTTACCACTGAAAGTTCTAAAAGGTTTGCCATCACAGTGACATAGAAACGTGGCTTTTCCTCTACACAAGACAGAGAAGCACGACGTGATCTGACTGATATCCCAGCAACCTGGAGCTGCTTTGAGCCACTGTGAGGGATGACACAGTGGCAGCAAGGAGACCGAATGGCCTGGACTGAGGCAGGAGAGACAAATGTTAACTGGAACGTACAAGTTAGTCCTCCAGGACATACATGTGATGTGTTACACAGGACTGTTTCACATCATCTTTAAAAAGGGACTTCTCTTTCAGACCATAGAGAGTCAAGAACCAAACTAAAACCACGCTAGTGAGACAGGCCAAGACTTTCTCAAACCATTTGCACCTTTTCAACTCCAATTCTTTTCATATGATAATTGAAATTAACTAAGGATGCTTATCCAAGCTCTCCCACAGAACTGCTTCAAGAATGACCTCAAGGCTCAAGAGTGCAAGAAAGCCCCTGGACATCTGAAGTCCCTCTCTGTGCGTCATACAGAGGCAGGCAGTTAAGTCTGCTCAGAGATGGGCTCTGCTAAGGATACGAAGCTAGGCTGAGAGCCAGGTCAGGGGAGCAGAAAGACCTCTCCATAGGGTCAGCACAGACAACTGCTGCTTTTTCAGTTGTGGCCTAAAACTTGCTCTCTAAAAGCAGCCTTGTGAAGTACTAAGACACAGTCTCATTTTTGCTCACAGGCTGTATTTCTTCTGTAGTGTTCTCTTTTCCAATTCTGTGCTAATGAAAATTACCTTCTTTTAAAAGCAACTTTTAGCTTGCAACTCTGTCCTGATGGCATCTAGGACTCGGTCAGACTTGCCAGGCCACACATAATACGCAGCCATCCGGGGTGGGGCAGAGCTCTGGAACACAGGCGCTGCCTATCCCCGGAGTGCTTAAACACATACCTGCACAAGAGGACCCTGATTTGGTACAGAACATGTGAGTGCCCTGAACTGGTGACACAGGAACACTGCTAAGGACAAGGACTTTCTATTCTACCACACTTGGGCTACAGACCGCGGGGTGGGCCCTTCAGAGGTGTCACCCAGAGCAGCTGTCCCACACTTTTATTTTGCACTGGCTGTGGAGAAGACAGAAGTGACACTTAGATTAAGTTCTGCTGGTGTTGAAGTAAGCTCAAGTCAACCTGCCCATCTGTATCAGCTGTGTCATCCAGAAATGGCAGAGAAGGATGAGAGGAGTTCAGCAGCCTACCCTGCTGACCGCTAGAAACTGGACTTTACCATCTAAGCACATTTCCACCCTGTCTGCTCAGGCTGGCCCTTGTCTCTTAGCTAAACCAAGAAAGCCACAGCTGCAGTGGGACCCTGAGAAAGCCCCGGCCCCAAAGAACAAATGCAGAGGCTTCCCTATGATGCAGGATCTGGTCCAGGGATTTGTAATGTGGAGGGTCCTCTGGTTCACCCTCAAACAGACATTTCCAGGCTGTATCCCAAGGCCAGTGAATCCAAGTCCATGGGCAGGTGGGGAGGTGAGGTGCATCTCAAGTAATTCAAATGAAAACCCAGATCTGAAATCACTACTACTTCCGGTGACACTGAAGTTCTTCAAATCGCTCCATCAACTGATCACACAGGTGGTGCTCTTAAACACCAAATGTCCTCCTTCTGACAGCAAATTTTACTTTCAAATAGTTTTCACAGTCAACAAATTTTCCTTCAATGAAACTGAAACCGGCTTCCCTGAAGCTCTCTCCCACTTTGACTCTGGAGCTGCAAAAATCCCTTAACCCCTCTCCAGAGGTGGGTTACTGATCTGTGAACCCCATCCCTCATCCTGCAGCCCTTGGTTATCACTCTGTGCTGAAGGTCTGCACACCAGTCTGTACGTAAGCTCTTATCCACCAGTTTCAAGGTCAGAGAAGAGAAACCGATTTACTTCCTTGCCCCAGCATGACTTGCTCCTCCACAGTTCCAACACAACACTTTATATATATGTTAATTTTAAGTACGCCTCAAAAACAACAAGAAATACGTGACAAGATTCCTCTATCCCATCCAAACCAAGATTCTGTGTACACTGTTAGCTCTGGGCACTTTTCTCAGCCTCCGATACTCTTTAAACATCACAGAAAGCAGTCCTAACTCATTGCTTCCAAAAGTCAAGGTGGTCTGCATGGCAAGATCATGACCAGCCACGGGAAAGGAGGAGTGGCCTGAGAGAAGAAGCTTCAGAGTCGGATGCTTGAGTGCCGGAGGAACACACCATGCTCTCTGCAGTGCCGCTTAAAAAACTGTCTAGGTAGTTACAGGTGCTCCTGAGCTTATACTGGGGTAAAAGCCCAACAAACCCATCAAAAATTTGAAGTGCTGTAAGTAAAAGATGGGTTTAATACACCTGTTGTACTGCATGTCCTAGCTTAGCCGGTTGGTCACCCTTAGGGATGCTCAGTGCGCGCACGCGCGCACACACACACACACACACACACACACACACACACACACACACGAGCCTCCAGGTGGGTGTGGTCACCTAGGTCAAGGCCTGTGCTGTAATACGGTGCTGACCATACCATGTGACTTACTGAATACAGCATGCTGCAGAGCACAGCCCCAGCTATTCACACCCATGACTGTGGGACCAGTGGCAAGCGACAGCTCAGTGCAGCTGCCCAATAGCACGAGGGGTACTGTGCCGCACATCACGCCATTGGGAAAGGACCACAATTAGCAATATGGCTTACGTTGAATACAAACTGTTTTTGCACCACTGTAAAGTCTCAAAATATTAAATGGAACAAGAGTAAGCCAGGGATCATATGCATTTAGACTTTGGAATTTACGTGAACATGTGTCCATACAAAGCAGGAGGCTGTGCTGAGCACCGTGTCGCTTGTCTGAGGGCGTATTCTTGGACTCTAAACCCCTGTCAAGCTAATTCCATCTTACACAATGCCATCTCCCTAAGTCTTGTGGGAAAGACTCGAGGTTTCAGTTCTCCGCAGTCTTCACACACCTAACTAGCCGCGGTGGAGGGAAAACAGCTGCGCTCCATCACACCCAGACAAAGGTAAACGGAGTTGTGGGGCAGGAGGAGGAGGACCGGTTCGATGCTGGTGCACGTGTACACCGCTTGAACATCGGAATGGAGGCCTGGCCCCTGTACCTTGCACACAATTCCCTCCATCTGACTGACACGTAAGTACATCCACGTGTGAGGCTGAGGCCTTTGAGCAAGTACTGATTAGTGTGCTGATGACCACAGGCGGTACCTGGACACTCAAGAAACCACCACTAATATCATTGCGTTCACCTACCGTGTCAACACATGGTGCCTTCACAGGAGCCTCTGCACTTGACCCAGGACTGGAAGCGCTTTCTTGGAACACAGAATACTTACTATTGCTAACTTCACGGCACAGGACAATGTCCATTCAACATTAAGTTGTCTGCCTTCCATAGATAACTTAGCAGCATGTAGTGAGTTTTTCAATGTAGAGTTATCTACAGCAAAAGCTAAAGAGACTGCCACAGGCCAGAGGAGCAAGGTGTTGCAATCTGTTCTCTGCCGTCTTACCTGTCTCTGCAGGAAAGGCTGCCTGCATTCGCCAAGGAAGGCTTTCTGATTCTAAGATTGCTTGCCTGGACTTCTTGCGGGGATACGAGGAAAAAATCAGTGCCTCAGAAAAAGCCAGCGCATTGATATAGACTTCTTAGCCACCTGACACTGGAGCTCCTGTTAGAATTTGAATCATACTTACTAGGTCTCTCGAGAGATCACACCCTGTTAAGCTTTAGCGGGAAAGTGGCTGTCAGCTGGACATAATCGTGTTAAAAAAGCTCACCCCTAAGTAACCGCTCACCTTGGATGAGTGTGACCTACCTTTCCTCCCTTCCTTCCGTGTATGTGCGCATGTAACTGAGAATTGAATGCAGGGCCTCTGCACTGACCTACATCCCTAGTCCTTTAAAAAAAAAAAACCCAAAAAACGTTATTTTAAATTTCAGAACAGGGTTTTAGGTAACTTGCAGTCCTCCTGCCCCAGCCTGCCAGAGTGCTGGGCTACAGGTCTGTACCACTGTGCCCGGCTCCACCCCTTCTCCTGCCGCTCAGCCACCCCTGCGGAGAAAAGAACCTACTTCTGCACAAGACGTTAACATGCAGAGAGAAGCGGCTGGTCAATCCTGTCACATTTTAGTGCATGAGAGGCTTCCAGCAAACTCTGCGTTCATTGGCTGACCATCTCTGGAAAGAGAAACAAACTTAAGCACCTCCTTTCAGGCACTGGACTCATAAATCCTCCTCCATTGTATATCCAACCATATCCATCACTGAGACGGCAATGTAACTGCCGTACCCACCAACAGCAGACTGAAAGGTTTGAGGTTCAAACTGATCTTAGGCCTCACTTGCCAGGTCCTTAGGCAAGCAGTTCAGCTCTACTCACTGCCAGGCAAGGAAACTACTTCAGTATCTTCATGCTTAGAGGATGATCAGAAACAAACGGGGTAATGTCTATAAAGCGACCCTGACCAATGGCACAGCCACTCAAAGATCATGTCTGTGTGTTTCTTTTGTCTAGTTAGCCATCAAAGGGTTTCTAACTAGCTGTTTGCAGTAACCTAAGTTTGTATTCAATTCTACCCCACACTGCCAAGGAATATGTAAGTGTTGGTGAATTAGGGAAAAGCTCAACATTACACATATAAACTGGAGATGATACTGAGGAAGAAACCACTGCCTCATCCAGAGCTTTGCTGACCATTACAATGTCAGAAAGGATCTGACTTGATCTAAACAGAAAAAACTTCATTGAGCTCTGCAGTCCCCAAGCCAGCCTACTTTACACTGAGGACTGCAAACTAACTGCCATCTTGATGACAAAAGAGTACTTCCAAAGGGGGCAAACAAACACACCGCCCTGGGGAGTCCGCCTCTCCTGAAATGTAGTCTGCTGCTTGGACAACAGCACGGGGCAAGGTGTTCCCGGTCTGATCTGCCTGAAGGCAGCTCTGTGCAAGGGCAAACAGAGCAACGACAGCAAGAACAAGGACCCAAACCTGGTCTTTGGCTTACTAGTTGTGTAATTTCAGACTTGTTAACCCAGGCCAGTTTCGTCACCTTGTAAAACGGGAGCAGTGACAGCTAACTGACACCCCGGTGTCAGGATAAGAGGAAACAGCAGATGCAGGGCACAGCTCACTTTATGAATGGCAGAGAGATGCTGTGTCAAGACGTAAGTGAACATATTTCTGTAAGACTCCGCTGCATGCAGAAGAGGGCAGAAAAGCCCACAGAAGCGAAACCGGAAAACTTAACAAGGAAGGTTGATGAGACAGACTGTAGCCAGGGGCAGGGCTGGCCTCAGGAGCCCTCTCTCTCTTGTCCCCTTTGGGGATGACCTGGGTGCTGTCTGAAGCATTAAATGAGTCTATAGCAGGAAATAAAGTAGTGATTTTTATGGGTTTTTTCTTTCAACGGTTGAAGAGAAATGTTTTCAAAAGAAAGAAAACCAGTGTTGCAGTCTTTGAAATCTAAAATATAGTTTTACATAAAGAAGAAATGTTAAGAAGCTAATCTACTTATTCAGATTTCACAGATGTCAGTGGTGCTTACTGAATACATATATGGTAAGAACAAGGAGTAAAGCAATATCATAAAATTCTGAATGCACTAAATTATGAAACACACCAAGGGTCTTGAGATCGCCAAAGATTCTTACGGTGACACACAGATTTTTGTTAATTCTTTCCCAACCCTTTTGCCTCAAAGTAAATCTACTGGAGTTTTGCAGAAGAAATGAGGGAAGAGCTTCAAACAGAGAAGAAAGCACTTCCCCTTGGCCTTGGCTCCGGGAAGACAAAGCTTGTCAGGACAGGCACAGGATGTTTAAAGGTCTCTGGGACAATGGACTATGCAACAATTCACTGAAATTCTTAGGGCTTTAAAGGCACTGATGTCTGGGCCCCACCCCCAAAGGCTTTAATTAAATTGGGGAGGGGGCAGGGTGAAGCCACAATTGGTGGGGGTGGGTGGGTTAGAAGTTTCTCAGTTGATACTAGTAAGCAGCCAAAGTTAGACCCATGGAACACTACAGGTGCAGGGCCACATGGGATGGCTAGAATGGCTCCAATATTCACTCAGTATCTTCTAGAGGTGATGCAAGGCTGGGTTCTACCCTTGCCCAGCTGTGCGACCCTGGGGACACCACTGCTACTCTCTCAGGAGTGTGAGGGCAGCCTCTACTTTACAGACCCTTAGCCACTTGAACATGCTGGGCAGTGCCTGGCATGGCCTGAGTGGAGCAAGCACAGACTAGGACTGTCCCGGTCCCAACCCTGCTAGGGGCTGCTGAGAACGGTGAGAAGTGGGAGATATGGGTAGTTTCGGCAGAGACCCTTTTGTCAGTGATGGGACTGGTGGGTTTGCTGAGTGGCCGGCTGCTCATCATTCCTGGAGCACCCGGACCCAAGGCAGATGGACAGGGTGCCCGCAGCAGCAGGTCCACAGTACCTTCACATCCCTCTTAGGCAAGCCTTCAACGAGTAACCGGAATGGGCTGCCCAGTACCCCGCCCAAGTTCTTCGTTTTCTGTTACCCGCACAGTATGGACTTCTGGTCCGGAGCCAGTCAGGAGGGCAAGACTCAGGGGCTCTTCCTTCCTTTTGGGCCTTTTCTTCTCAGGCAACACAACATTGGCCCTGTTGTAGGCATCTACACTCAGCACCCTGGGCGGCACAGAGCCTGAAACAGAAGCCAGACACTCGGGTTTAAGTCCTAGCATTACACACAGGCTTCTGCTTTAGGGGGCAGGTTTCCTCTACAAAAGAAGAGCACGCGCCCCAGAAGTGTTTCACAGATGTCAGTTGTGCCTTCCCGAGAGTGGCTTAAAACGTGTGATTTTAATTCTTCCCAGGTAAGTTTGAAGCCTCCCCACTCCCAGGACAATGTTGGGAATGAATTCATTTGACCATCTGTAGTTGCCGTTCTCCCATTGATGGAACCCAGATATCACAGTTGGCTGGGTTTGCAGTTGTGGGAGAAAAAAAAAAAAAAAAAAAACAGATGCAGTAGACAAGAGGCAGAGGCAGTTTCAGATGGATCCTGACTGGAAAAAATCCTGCTTATCACAGCCAACCACACAGGGCTGGGCTGCAGAAGGCACTCAAGAGCATTGGCTGAAAGGTGGGAATCACAGAAGTCACAGCTTTCCCTGTGACCACAGTGCCGATGTTCTTTGTTTCCCCCTTGAGGAATACCTGCTCAGGCCCTCTTACTTACAAGCAAAGAGGCCAGGGGAGAAAGAAGTGTTTGTTTGTGCCTGCGTTGAACTGTCATTTCTGGCGTTTTAAAAATCTAGTTTAGCGTATCAGGGAGGAGTCCCAATAAACAAAGTTAATGTTCTTTGTTCTTTTCAAATCGCTCTTGAAATGCTGCAGGTACTGTAGAATAAGATCGGACTCCTGTTTTGTTTTTTTTTTTTTTTTTTCAAGGATATTACACGAGGTCCCAGAGCAAAGGAATTTCAAAAAAATCCACATATCCTTGGTTAAAGATAATATATAATTTTAAAATGAGAATACTCAATTGGTACTCTAGGTGAAGAAACTATAGGTTACTGGTTTCTCCCATGAGTTTGTGAGCTTCTACAACCCTCAGCTACCATAGGCCCACAATCGTGGATGGGGCTGAACTTCGTGTTTGTGACTCAGCCACAGCCTCTCTGTTCTTTTTTATTGTTGTTAGCACGTGATGAGGTGCACAATGATCATAGTTACCCTGGGGGTCCCATCCATTACACTACACATCTTCATTCTTTTTGAATCCCTTCCTATTTTGCCAAAGATCTACCAGTCACCCTCTGCCCCTCAATCCTGTTTCCTACTATCTTTTATTTTGCTCTTTCTTGACTTTTTCTCCTATAAAAAGAACCACGCAATCTATAAGCGTGGGTCTGATTTACTCCACTTAACATTATAGCATTGTAATGCAGGCATGGGGGGCTCCCAAGATTTCGGTTCTCAACTTGAGGGGTGATGTTTGTGGGACCCCAACACAATTCAACAATTCAGCGGCGTTGACTTCTATTTCCAACAACAGAATTTTATATATAAACACACATATATATAAACACACACACATATATACATATATATATTTTTAATGTGACTTTGTAAGTTGTTCCTCACCCCGTACCCAGCATGTTCTGTCCTCCCCTTGGCTTTGCTGTCCAGTTAGGCACCGGTCTTCTGTCTCCCCGGCCTCCCCCCACCCCAGGTGAGGCCCTAAGAAAGGGCCTGGCTTGACAGGCTGCAGACCGACCCGCAGCCGCCCGCTCCTCGCCCTCGCCCTCACCCTCGCCCTCGCCCGCCCGCAGCACGCCCGGCCCGCAGGCTCCCGGCCGTTAGGAGGACAATGCCATCGCGGTCCGAGCCGCTCGCCGCTCGCTGGCGGGGGCGCGCTCGCCGGGCGGGCGGGCGGCGCGGCCCCGAGGCCGGGGCGCCGAGGCGGGCGCAGCGCGGTCCCCGGGCCGGGCCGGGTCGGGCCGGGCCGGGCCGCGTCAAGGCCGCCGCGGCCGGGAGGCTTTAAAAATGGCCTCCTGACGACACTTCCTGCGGGGCCGCGGGCTGGGGCGCCGCATCGTTCAAACGCGGGGGGCGGGGACCGGGACAACGGCCGCGCCGGCCCGCACCGGGGCGCGGCGCACAAAGGCGGGGACGAGCGCGGCCCCGGTCCCCTCCCGCGCCTGCCCGCCCGCCCTGGCGCCCCCATCCCGACCCCGACAACGGCCGCGGGCCCAAGGCTCACCGACCCCGCGGGGCGGTGCCCACGCCGGTCCGGTCGCAAGCGCGCGCGGGGCGGGGGCCTCCGCCGCCGGCGCTGACCCGAGCCCGGTCCCGGTCCGGCCCCGCCCGCGCTCCCATCCCCCGCCCGCCCGGCCGCCCGCGCGGCTCCGCGACCTCCCGGCAGCGCCCGGCCCCGCCCCGCCCTGCTCGCGAGCGCGGACTCGGCCGCTCCCTCCCGCGCGGGCACTCACCGGTCCCGGTGTCCGGGTCCCCACCGAGCGGCGTCTACACCGCCGGCGCAGCCCGCTGCCGCCGCCGCCGCGCCCGCTGTAGGTTCCTACCCGGGGGGCGGAGCCGGGCCGGGGCGCGCGTGCGCAGTGCGGCGCGGCTGCATGGCGAGGCCCGCGTCCGAGGTCGCCAAGGTTTCGCCTTCTGGGAGCTCTGGGCTCGATGGGGCCGCGTCGTCTACACAGCTTCGCCTGGCTACTGGGGCAGGCTCTAGGCTTGGAACTCACTGTCCGCACGCGCACTGCGGGCTCTGCGCAAGGAGGTGGATTCCGCTTGCGCTAGTGGCCTAGGGGAGCCCTGGGTGCGCCCAGCCTAGCAGACTTGATGCCTGCCTCACGGAGCGTTTAGTCCTGCCACGGGTGAACGAAAACCGGACCAAGAGAGCTCCGGTCCCGAGCCCTCTAAGTCTTCCTCCTCGGAGAGCAGCGTTGCAGGAGATGGTCCTGAAGTCCTGGGTTCGAAACCTACTGCTGCACCTCATAGCTGCAGGAATCAGGGTGTAGTAGGCCCCTGACCTCTCAGAGTCTCAGTGTTCCATTTCTAAAGCTGCGGAAGGTCAAACTTAGAGGCCTGAAACCTCATCTAGCATGCAAGCTGTGACCTTCAGAGGAGACACCGGCTTTGGGGACAGTCTGCAGATGCAGTGAGCTCTTTCAGTGCCAGGGTGGCTCTCCTACCTCCTAGATCCAGTACAGTTTGGGGCAGCCAGTACCCCACCCCCAGACGCGCACACACGGTCTTCGTGAAGAAAGAGGCGCCTAGAAAAGGGCTCTAGAGGTTCGGCATCTTGGTGCTGCTCCCAAAGTGGACCAGCCCAGGATTATGGCACGGCAGCAGCGTCATTGCAAAGTGCAAGTTCGCCAGCGGTTAATTAATGGTGGAAGTACGGTTCGAGGCTCCGATCCCTAGGGGAAGGGTCAAGACTGGCTTCCGTGGTGGCAGGAAGCCTGCCAGCCTGGACGCGGGCAGAACGCGGGTGCAGGAGACCTACGGCATGCAGTGCCCAAAGGTGAAGTGAGATCAGTGAGAGCTCCAGCCACGAGCAAGACCCCTGCCCTCGAGAGAAACACGCAGGGAATGCTCCAGCAGACCTCTTGGCCTTGCCCCTAATATAAGCCCTGCCACATAGAGCTCCGAAACCCGGAGGAGACCCAGATGGATGTATAGGAAAATACAGCTGCAGAGTTTGAGGTCTTCCCCGGAAGTGGGCAGGTTGGGGATGGACCTCACCTGAAAACCTCTAGTGTTAAAGCAGCCCAATCAGGAAACTGAGTTAATTCCACGTATCGGAGAATCAAGCAGAAGGCTGCAGTTTACGCAGATTTGTCTCTTTTAGCTGACTTTTTGTCATCACACCTTGTCCTTTCTGCTCGTGGATCACAGTTCTGCACTCTGGTGACACAGAGTTGATGAAAGGTGATTCGTGGGTCCAGAGCTGTTACAATCCCAGCTCTCGCACTGCGTTGCAAACCTGATCCCTAGTTTGCCTACACCGCAGTTTTTGTTTTTTTAATAGGACCCTCTTCCTCCAAGGGAGTCATCAACATGTACCAGGAGAAAGCGGGTGATGATTTCTCAGAAGTGACTGAAAACCCATTCTTGCATTTCTCAGCAGCCCAAATGCAGTGAGATGAAATGATTTTCAGAGGATCTGGAAATGGAATATTTGCAACCTGGAAGAGAGTCCGGCAGAGCTAGAAACCACTCTTGGGGAAACCTTGATGGTGGAAATATGATTCCCTCGAAGTCTGGATGAGGGAGACAGTGCGCCCTGGAATGGGACCCAGGGCACACATCCCATGCTTTGCCCTGGGCATCTTCTTCCCCATCTTCCAGCACCATTCACCTAAGTCTTGTTTTAATGTTTCTTTGTATTTTTTTAACTTGGAAAATTTCATTAGTATGTGTTTGCAGTCCATACCATTTACAGTCGTCTTAGGTGTCCGTACGAGTTCCTACTCCAGCTTGATTCATTTTTAGACGCCCTACCCCTTCCCTCTCCCTCCCTGTTCCTCTGATTTCCCCACCCTGATTTGCATTCTCAGTGATATTTTTAGCGCATGTTGCAGCGGTAGGATGCTTACATTTATTGAGGTGATCAGGTTCCTGTACATGGCACATCTTGGCTCTGCTTACTTCCCCTTCTCCTCTGCACCCTCACTGTTGTTCCATTGGACCCTTCCCTATGGCAAGAGGTCTGTCTCCTCCTCCCCTTCTACCCATCACTGGCCCTCCTCTTTGCTTGTACTATGCCTCAATTGAGATACCATACCGTATTAAAGCATGTGTGTCTGACCTGTTTCACCCAACCTTATGTCTTCCAGTTGTGTTCATGCTGCTATAAACACAGGTATGCAGTATCACTGCAGTGTGATGTCCTAAGCTCTTTGGGGGGGGATGCCGAGAGGGGAGGTAGCTGGGTCATGTAGAATTCCTAACTTCATCTCCATGCTGAGAGGTCTCCCTGCTGGGTTCCTTGATGGTCCTTAGGGCTGGTTTAAACTCCCACTGGTAGTGAAGGACAGTTCCTTTTTTCACAGTGACACCTGAGCTCACCTTTCAGTGTTTCATGGGTCACTTCCCCTGTGACCAGGACTGTGTCCTCTGCTGCTGGGGTTTAGTGCTGGAAGTTCCCTGGGAGCCTTCTGCACTACTAGGTGGGACTTTGGGAGGCGAGGATTAAAGCTGCTTTGCAGTTAGGAAGTGGGTCTGCTGGGAAGGGTGGCCTGGAAGTGTTTATCTCTTTCCCAGCTGCTCCCCTCTGTCTTACCCCATGCCCGGGACCCCTTGTCCTGGAGCCCAACCACTATGGACGGCAAGGTAACCCCTTTAATTTTCGGGTGTCAGGTATCATGTCTCAGTGATGAAAACTAAGACACCTGTCTACCTTCGAGTGGGATTTTTTTCAGAAATAGGTTCATTGTGATCAAAGCCATTAAGTAGTCCCTTTCCATGGCCCTGGGAGAGACAGAGGTGAGTGTCTCATGACACTCAGATTCCCTGGCAGAGGCTAGTGTTGAAGACAGAGCCAAGGTCAGAGCTGTGAGGCCATGAAGAAGCTGGGAAAACCCACACAGGATCCTCCCCAGAAGGTTCTGGAAGGAGCTAGCCCTGGAAATGTGGGGACAGGAAAGCATTGTTTGCTATTATAGCCTTGGAAAAAAATAGACTCCTAGTGGCAACTGCATAAGACCCAGAAAAGAATCATTCAAGGACAGTGTCTGAGGCTCCCGGAGGCAGCTCCCCACTGACACCTACTCAGTGGGCACTCATTGGTTGAACAGTGATGTGCCTCAGCTTCCTTCCAGTGCTAAGGTGAAAGAACAAGGTTCAGTCTGCTGGGGGAGCTCATCGTGTTGGGGACTGCAGACTACAAATCTGTAAGGGAATATATGTATGATTAATATGCAGGGGGGCTGGATGCAAGGGAGGAAACAAAAAGCTGGGTAGTGTGGCATGGCAGGGGGCACATGCAAAGCAAGGAAGGGGATGGATGACCCGGAAGGTGCAGGGGAGGAGCCTTTGAGATTGGCTCTGAGGGAGGCAGGCGGAAAGAGCTTCCAGCAAGGGGAGGAGCATGTGCAAAGGACCGGGGGCAGGCAGCTGTGGGCATGTTTGTGGAGGAAAGAAGGCTTGTGGAGTTAGATCATTCTAGGTGCTTACGAATTATGTGATCTAGGGGGTCTTCTACCAAGCTCTGCCTGTGAGGAAGGCCACAGTGAGGCTGGTGGGGCCATCCTCTCCTCTGCATGACCATCCACACCACATTAACCGTTTTATTTTCTCCAGGGGTCTCTAGTGTTCTCCAATATTGATTACATTGTTGGAGTAAACCCTACTGGCCCTTAGACACACACCAGGACCTCTGAGCTGGCGGTGAATGCACAGATACCGTAGGACGCCGAGAACAGAAGGCCCAAGAAGGTGACATTTTCCTCTCCGCAGTTCAGAAATTTTGACAGCTTCTTCAAGCCATAGCTTGTTCATCCGTGAAAGCAGGATAAAGGCCCTCTTCACCCCCAAACTGGTTCAGGAAAGGGATACTTGAACCTAGTACCCCGCCAACTGAGATCCCAGGGCACAGGGTGTGAACGCTGCAATCTGAATCCCAACCCCAGCATTTACCCTTCCCAGCTGTGTCTCCCTGGGCGAGTTACTGCCAGGCTCTGCGACGCCTCCCTCAAATGCAAAACAGGAGAAACCAACCTTCCCTCGAGGTTGTCCCGTGGACAACGGCACTGACCCCTCCCCCGCCGACGCCCGCCCACCAGGTGGCGCTGTCCCTTCCCCGTTGAGCCCAGCCGTGCACGCCTTGCTTCGCTGCGGTTTGAGCCTCTGGAGTTCGCCGAGTAGCGCAGCGGGCATGCGCGGCCAGTAGAGCTTCGGGAGCGAGGCGCCGCAGTCCCGCCGGCGGCCGGCAGTGTCGCTGCGGAGCCGCCCCTCCGCGCGCGGGCGTGTAGAGCTCTACCCGCTCCAACATCCGCGCTGCCCGCGCCCCGCGGAGGTGCGGATGCTTTGCTGCGGTTTCCCTGGTGCTTTGGGAAAGGGGCCTCACGGCCGGACTCACAGGCTGGGGAGCCAGCTTAGGACTGGGCGGAGCGCATTCCTGACCCCGATGGCCATGGGATCCGAGTTCTCCCCAAGGGGTCACCACTCCCGCTTTGTGAGACCTGAGGAGAAACGCGTGGCGCCCCTCGGGACCTAAGCTCCGCAGAGAGAGAATGTGTCCGGTGCGTGGGTGAAACCTCACAGGGAAGCCCCATATCCTGTGTGACGAAGGACAGATGTCTGTTTTGCTAGTCTTGCAGGTTCCAGGGTCCAGCGTTGTGCTTAGCAGCGAACAAGGCTGATTTCTAGGACTATTCGGGCAAGAGCCGTCAGCACCCCTTGCCTAGACCAGGGCCATGCAGTGGGGACAGGAGAGTCCCCAGATTGGCCGGGGCGGGATGCGGTGCAGAGAAAGGGAGAGGGCGTTTAGAAACTTAGCAATCAAACACCACCTGCCACAGGTGATTGGCATGCGCGGTCGTCTTGGTGAGGGCTGCTTAGAAAAGTGCAGGTTCCAGCATCCTCCAG